GTAATGGTTATGGAACAGTCATAATTTAGCTTCAAATTTTATTAGGGAAAAGGTATTGGTCATGACATTGGCAGTATGAAGGGTAATATGCTAGAAGCTGGTCCAAACTTAATAGGGCATAAAAAAGATGATTTCTCTGTATCAAAATTTCTGTACCAAGAAAATAAGCATTATTTATACTAATCTTGATAAGGTCTTTATAAAGAAACAAAACTTTAATTCTCGATATTTATTTATTTATTCTCAATATTTCAAATCATTGTACTTAATAAATTTGAAGTTTATATGTTTTGTTTTTCTATACATTTATAACTAATAGTAGCAATTCTTAATGTTTTGAAAAAATTATAATGACTATAGAAAAATCATAATTTTGCCTGAGCAAAGTGAAGATGACTGCACAGTTTCAGTTTGTGTGGTCATTTTTATGGCCTTGCTCTGGGAGTTTCTCCCTCTCTCAGAATAACACTTAATGTCATCTTCTAAGGACTCAAACCTTTTTTAATTTTTATTCTTTTATTAGTTATTTTTAATTATACATGATAGTTTATTTTGACCTAATTGTAAAAGTGTGGAACATAATTTGTTCTAATTCAGTTTTCATTACTTCCTCTTCCCCTCCCTTCTTTCACCCCTTGACCCTTTCTCTACTCTAGAAAGATCAGTAAGTCTCCTTGAGTAAGTCAAGGAAAGGGGATCCATTGTGCCAGAGACTTTGCAGGTAACATGTCATGTGCACAGGGCCAACCTGCCCTGGGGCTTCATTCCAGCCCTCACCATGGAATGTGGAGAATTGTTTCCAATTAAATGTGAGGCCATTGCCCTGGTATCCCAAGTACCATTGCTTCCTGCTTTTTTGAGGGGTGGGGTGTGCTGGGGATTGAACCCAGGGCCTTGTGCATGTGAGGCAAGCACTCTACCAACTGAGCTACATCCCCAGCCCATTTGCTCTCCTTGTTCGAGAGAAAATGCTACACAGCCTAGGGTACTCTGGTTTTACTCCCATCCCCATGGGGCTGAAATTTAGTAAATTTGGATGACCCATACTAGAATCCTCTCTTAAGCTTTACAGAGATGTCCATTCTTCACAGTCCATTGAGCTATGATGAGTCAGGAGGATGAAGTACAAACATCCCAAAGAGCATACTACTCTGGGCTGAATTTCAAGCCTGGGGACCCCCTGCCCTTTCTGCATATCTTCTCTCTCATCTTTGCATCCAGGATCTCTCTCTCTCTCCCCAGACTCTCTAGTTCTAGTGTCCTGACTTGGGTCCTTGGGATAAGGGTAGGCAGAGAATAACCATTAACGCTGTTACTTCATCCAAGCTAGGCCCAACAAAGCCAGACCTTAATACACTTCACCCAGGCCTATGTTGTTGCTGATTTATCTTAAGACACAAGCTTCCAACCTTTAAGGAACCCTGCTCTGTGAGAGCCAGACCTGGCCTCCTGCTCTCCTGTAGTTTCTCCTTCCCCATCGTTCACTGACCTGTACCAACTCCTCTGCAGTCTGTGTCCCTATTCCTGTTCCAGTTCCATGAGTCATTCAGACACACCACACACAAACATTACCACCACCACACTATGCCTCTAAAAGGAAGCACATCCCTTGAAATTAACTAAATGGACCCAGGATAACCTTGTCAGCAAGCAGGTCCCTATTGACAAAAAAGAAAGGGACAATCTCTGTGTAGATGTAGATAGTATTCAGTCAGAAGTGAAACCAGATGCTATTAAGAACTGGAGGCCACCAGAAGGGCCAATGGAAAAGTTTAAATTATTTGTTTTCTGAGGCAAATGTCTTATTGTGTAACCTGTATCATTGTTGAAATTGCCTGGTTTGTTGTTTTGAGACCTTTGTTTTGGGTTTTTCCCCCTCAGTATTGGGGATTAAACCCAATAGTGCTTTATCATAGAACTGCATTCCCTAATCATTTTTTATTTTGAAATGATCTTGCTATATTGCCCAAGCCAGCCTTGAATTTGTTATCCTCCTGCCTTGGCCTCCTGAGTTGCTGAGATTAAAACCATATATCACGGCATCTGGCTCCTAAATGCTTGTAACAAGCAGCCCTAGTTAGAAAACCATGGATTTTGATGGTTTTCTCTTGAGCAGTGAAGAGAACATCTGGCCCTATACAGAAAGTCTGGTAGTTTCTGGAAAGCCAAGGATATGTGCATTTGGACCATGTGTATTTCTCTCCCTGACTCCAAGATCCAAAGAACATACAGTTGTCACTTCTCAGTGGCTTTCAGACTTAAAGAAAAAAGTTGAAGTCCCAGGTTTAGTCTTTAAGTATATTACCCTCTATTCCTTCCCCAGACCACATTCCTAGATACAGTTTTCTAAAGACAGTTTTCTGAGTYCTGAAACTCCTCTGGTAAGAAACACCTTTTTACCTCTAGGGAGTAAGGAACATTGGTTCTACCTTCTGCCTCTGTGATTATCTTGAATAGTTTTTTGAGACAGGGTCTTGCTGTGTTGTCCAGGCTTATGTTGAACCCTGGATTCAGTGGATCCTCCTGCCTTAGCCTCCCAAATAGTTGGGATGTAGCCACTGCACTAAGTTTATCCTTCTTTTAATCTCTCAATTTCATCCAGGCAGAAGTCTCGAAGTTTTCCCAAACAAACACTTTGACTTTTCATGGGTAATCAACTCCTTCCCATTTCCATCCTTCCCAGGCCCCTACCCTTACTCCTATTTGTAATTTTGACTTAACTTCCTTTGGAGTATCCTTGACCTTCAAAGTCTGGAAAACTAACCACAACTCTGTTGTACCTTTGTACAAACCTGAGTTTTGTACAAACTTGATTTGCATTGTTAGGGGTTATAAATTATAAATTACAATGTGATACTTGGGAATTCTTAATTTGAGGCTATTTTTTTTTTCCTCCTCTTGAGCTGACATCGTTTTTCATAAAGCTTTTTAACTTGAAATTTTTATGTGGCCACAAATTCTCCCAATGATTATAGTTTCAATTGGTTTTGCTTTTCCTTTCCCTTTTGTGAATGGACATGTGATTCAGTGAGTTGATTCCACAGAAGGCGAAACACCTTATTAGGATACACAGAATGGAGAACCAATATTATAATCAGATTTCATGCTTATACTTGTAAGCTTAGAGCTGAAAAGGGGAAGGTGTACCCAGAATGGCCTATGATAGCTTCTGAGGACTGAGTTAATTCTTTGGTCCTCCCTGACTTGGGATACAAGGCTTCCTGCACTGCACCTGGGCCTGATGGGTCAGGAATGTCATCCAGGGTCTTCATAATCTGGCAGGCTAACTGCATAAATAGTTTTCCTTTCCTTATGAAAAGATCAGGATTAGGCTTTGCTCTTTCCTCTTAATGCATTTTGCCTTAACTTGGAACATTTTGTTTTCTGCTTTGGTTATACCATTTTACATATGCTTAAAATAATTAAACAGATTTTTTGTTTTGTTTTGGAATTGAAAGACATGACTGGTCAGAATTTTACTTGGTAACATTTAAATAGAGTGTGATCAGTTCTAGTTTTGTCATTTATAAGTTTTGTGGTTTATTTAGGTTTTTTTTCTTCATAATTTTTTAAAAGCTTAGAAGTATTTCATAGGTGAGGTGCAGAAACATATGCCTATAATCCCAGTTGTCTGAAGGATGAGGCAGGAGGATGGAAAGTTTGAAATCAGCCTCAACAACTGAGACTTTTTCTCAATAAGGGATAGAGGAAGTAACCCAGTGATAGAGGGCCCTGGATTTAATCCACAGTACCCCTATGGGTAAGGCGATTCAAAGGATGTTTTTAAGAGTGAAGGGTTTTTCCTTTTTTTTTTTTCCTGTTCTTTCTCCCTTTTCATTTTGGGATTGAAAGTTTATTCAAGAGACCTAGGGTACAATATACTAACTACAGTTAGGGAAAATATATACTGGAAAATTGCTAGGGGAGTAGATATTAAAGGTTTTTACCATAATTAGTAAGAGTATGATATAATGCCTGTGAGTTAGCTTGACTTAGGCATTCTATAGTTAATGAATATTTCAAAATAAATGTAAATGGTTTTTGGTACTGGGGATTGAATCCACTCTACCTCTGAGCTATATCCCCATTCCTTTTTAGTTTTTGAGRMAGGATTTTGCTAAGCTGCTGAGMCTGGCCTCAAATTTGCCACCATCCTGCCTTAGCCTCCAGAGTCTGGGAATAAAGTGCTTTTATAGTTTCTTAATTAAAGGTTTTATAAAGGAAAATACAATGGCACCCATTGTGCATGTTTTCCTAATCTGTCCCACCTGGCTTATTGTTGGAGCAGAGAAGGAGTTTATTCTGGGCTATGTGGTATTCTCATTCCCATTGTCTTTGGAAAATACAGGTGAACATTGCTAATCCAAAAATCTGAAATTCATAATGCTCCAACATCGAGTGCCAGTGTGATACCATGTGTGGAAAAATCTACATTGTATAACTTTGTTCCATGCACAAAATTATTACAAATGTTACATAAATTTACCTTCAGGCTAAAAGGGGCATATAAAACATAATGAATTTTGTGTTAAATATGCATCCCTTCCCCAAATATCTTATGTGCAGATATTCCAATGTCTGAAATAATCAAAAATCCCAAACACTTTTGGTCCCAAGCATTTCAATAAGGAAATCTCAATTTATAATTTTCAAATTTTATCCCCTAAGAGGGCAGAGTCAGTTTTCAGGCTCCATAATACTGACTTCCCAGGTGGGCTAGAATTAAATGGAGCTGTGAATGGGTGGATATGAGATGGGGTCAGTGGTCATCATGCCACCTCCTCAGCATTTGACCAAATGCTTGCTCTGGTGCTAGCAGAGACACAAATGTGACTCTATGGCCACCAAGTGCAGAATGGATAAATTGAGAATTTCCTGGCTATTACAAGACAGTGACTTAAGCCCTGAGTTGGTCCCTCTGAAGGGTGGAGAGAATATGGAGTTGCTCATGCTTAACCTGAGAATATTCTCTACATATTTCCTCAGGATTCCTTTTAGAACAGAGATTCATCAGGATGAGCATGTGGGCTCCACCAAGGCTCCTGGAACTGGCTGGGCAGAGTCTGTTGAGGAATGAGGCCTTGGCAGTTGCTGCTCTGGAGGAGCTCCCCACAGAGCTCTTCCCACCTCTCTTCACGGTGGCCTATGCTGAGCGACGCAGTAAGACCCTGAAGGCGATGGTGCARTCCTGGCCCTTTGCCTGCCTCCCTCTAGGATCCCTGATGAAGGAGTGGCAGCCTCACCAGGAGAACTTCCAAGCTGCACTCAATGGGCTTGATGTGCTGCTTGCTCAGGAAGTTCGCCCCAGGTGAGGGTAGTCCTATAGCCTGAAAGGACCCTGGGAGTCAGCAAGACACAGCTGTATTCAGGGAGCCTGGAGAGCTAAGATGGTAGGCCAGGGGCTTTTGGTGGTGCTAGTGAGGAAGTTCAGGGAGGCCTGGAGTCTGTTTTTTGGTGTCACTCTGGGAATGGGCTTCTGGATGTAGAAGGTTGATTAATTAAGATGCATTGGGTACTCCCTCCAATGTACAATAAGCAGGCCTCAAGAAGGATCTTAGGAGAAGGGATTCCAGAAAAATCCAAAGGAGAAGCAGATTCTCAGTGGAAAAAGAGCAACTTTGTTTCTTTCCAAGGTTGTACGATTTCTGCTCTTTATTCTGAGTTGATTACCTATTTTCCTACAGGAGATGGAAACTGCAAGTGCTGGATTTACGCAAGAATGCTCATCGGGACTTCTGGACCATATGGTCTGGAAGCAGAGCTAGTGTGTACTCATTGATGGAGCCAGAGGCCGCCCAGCCCATGAAGAAGAAGCGAAGAGTGGACGGTTGCAGAATGAGGGGGAAGCAGCCCTTGGCTCCTGTAGAAGTGCTTATAGACCTGTGCCTCAAGGAAGGCAGCCGTGATAAATTGCTTGCTTCCCTCATTGAGAAGGTCAAGCAAAAGAAAGGTTTACTACACCTGTGCTGTAAGAAATTGAAGATTTTTTCAGTGCCCATGCAGAATATTAAGATGATCCTGAAAATGGTGCAGCTGGACTCTGTCCAGGATTTGGAAGTGAATTGTACCTGGAAATTGTCCACCTTAGGGAAGTTTGCTCCTCATCTAGGGCAGATGGGTAATCTGCGCAGGCTCCTCCTGTCCCACATCCACATGTCTTCCTACACTTCCTTGGAGGAGGAAGAGCATTGCGTTAGTCAGTTCACCTCTCAGTTCCTCAGTCTTCATCACCTCCAGGAGCTGTATTTGGATTCTGTCTCCTTCCTCAAAGGCCGTCTGAACCAAGTGCTCAGGTGAGGGATAGTAAGATTGCTCTGTAGACCAGAGCAAGCCCTTCTTCATTTTGGTAACAGCAATGGACATCTGCTATGTATATGCCACAAATAATGTAAGAGTGAACAGGTCACTAGAAGACACCATATTGTCTTATTTGCAAGTATGGTATCACACAACTACCCCAATAAAGGTTAGAGGTTATCTATTTTCTTTTTTTTTTTTTTTTTTTTTTTTATTTTTTTAGTTTTTTTTTTTTTTTTTTTTTTTTTTTTTTTTTTGAATTTTTTAATTTGTTTTTTTTTTTTTTTTTAGTTTTCGGCGGACACAACATATTTGTTTGTATGTGGTGGTGAGGATCGAACCCTGGCCGCACGCATGCCAGGTGAGCGTGCTACCGCTTGAACCACATCCCCAGCCCAGTTATCTATGTTCTGTTGCTAATAATAATACAGTAGCACAGCGTGTGCTGGGGTTGTGGCTCAGCAATAGAATGCTCACCTAACATGTGCGAGGCCCCTGGTTCGATCCTCAATACCACATACAAATGAATAAAAATAAAGGTATTGTGACCAACTACAACTGAAAAATATTTTTAAAAATAATACAACACCACAGACTGAGTACATTATAAAAAAGAGGTTTATTTTAGCTCAATAGTTTAGTCCAAGTTTGAAGAGCCACATCCAGTGATGGCCTTCTTGCTGGCAGAGCTCCTGAATAGTGTAAGCATTATGGTGAGAGACGAGGAGTACTCATGAGACCTCACCAAACCAGCTTTTATAGCAGACTTACTGTTCAGATAACCCATTACCTATCAGTCACATGATTTTAAAGGTCCCACCTCTTAATATCTTATAATGGGAGTTATATTTCAACATCAGTTTTGGAAAGAAAGCAATTTCAGTTATAAAGTTAATTAGATGCAATTAACAATGACATATTGCTGCTAGAACACTATTTAATGGATTTATGTCTGGAGAGGGTAGCTTTGGGAAATGATGTCTAAGATGACTAAAAATAGCTAAGTGAGGGGGGCATTAAAAAAGGGAAAGCCCATCAAACCTTAGATTTCAGATTATAGACTGCATTCAACAGCTTTATCAGCATGAACCTCTTTCTCCAAACTTGTCTCAAATATTCTGTCTGTAAAGAATTGTTTGTATCTCCAATAAGGGAATGTGTGGGAAATAACATGTTTCTGGGTCACCCTCATTGTCTGATATCCACTATCACTATTCCCTAGCACTAATTATTCTATCTTTCCCTAGGTCCCTGAAGAGTCCCTTGGAGACATTGTCAATCACTAACTGCCTGCTTTCAGAGTCAGATTTGACACATCTGTCCCAATGCCCCAACATCAGTCAGCTGAAGGATCTGGGTTTGAGTGGGGTCAATCTGACCTGTGTAAGTTTTGAGCCCCTCCAGGTTCTATTAGAGAGAATCTCCACCACTCTCCAGGATCTGGACTTAGATGAATGTGGGATCATGGACTCCCAGTTCACTGCTATCCTGCCTGCCTTGAGCCACTGCTCCCAGCTCACAACCTTCAGCTTCTGTGGGAATCCCATCTCCATGGCTGTGTTAGAGAACCTCCTGCTCCACACCATTGGGCTGAGCAAGTTAAGTCATGTAATGTATCCTGCCCCACTGGAGAGTTATGAAGATGTTGAGGGTACCCTCCACCTGGGGAGACTTGCCTACCTGCATGCCAAGCTGAAGCAAATGCTGCGCGATTTGGGGAGGCCAGGCATGGTCTGGTTCAGTGCCAACCCCTGTCCTCACTGTGGTGACAGGACCTTCTATGACCCAGAACCCATTCTGTGTCCCTGTTACATGCCTACTTAGATGAATGCATATATCCACAGCTTTATTTGGGGAACTTGGACACAAAAGCTCAGAAAGTAAACACATTTAGAAAAAAAGCCAGTTTTGTTTTCAGTTAAGTGGGAAAAAGGTGATGGGAGTGGGGGCAGATGTTTACTTAGAGTTTTTTGTATCTTTGGTGAGATGCATCTTATAAAGTTAGAAGTATGGATCTGAATTTCTAGAAGAGTTTGATTCAGGCTTGAGAGATACATGTGGGAGTTATCCCTGCATGGATAGCTGTAAAGAAATGGCCAGAAATAAAGAACCTCAATGCAAACCATTTGGTATACTGTGTGATATTTGAACCTGCTTTCCCTGTGGAGACCTCAAGAACAATCCAGCTACTGATGAAATGAGAAGGCACTAAGCATCCAAGGTGCTTACCACACCTGGCTGAATGTTAATCCCCAAGGTCTCATGGCACCATTTATCATTCCTTCCATTTGGTTCTCTCTGGGGCGTATTTTTCCTACTTATTTCTGTGGCTATTTTAGTGAGTGTGCCAGTATACACAAGTTGCATCCTGAGGGCCTAAAACAATGTACAGTAGTGAGTAGCACTGAAATAAAGTGTTATTTACATGAGCTGTCACTGCTAACTCAGGAGATCTTGTACTGTAACTTTTCACTCTTCTCTAGAGGATCCATAAGCCTCAGTCTGACCTTTTGCTGTATACAGGGATTAAATGTACACAAGTTAGGCCCTCAATACTGAAAGGGAATGTCTATCCTTCATATGAACTGGAGTTGCCCCTTGAATTTAATTAGTGGCCAGTTAAAAATGTAAATTCACTTTAATAAAATACTTATATTTAATATGTGTATCCATATTAAAAATTTATGACATTCAAGAGGCTGGAGTTGTGGCTTAGTGGTAGAGYTTTTGCCTGTCATGTGTGAGGCCCTTGGTTCAATGCTCATTACCACATGTAAATAATTTAAAAGATCCATTGACAACCAAATTTAAAAAGAACCCATGAGTCTTTATTGTTACTCCAAAACACAGAGCAGTAGGGAAAGTTCTTATTCATCGAAGAATATCAGCTACAGAAAAATAGTATTAGGAAATCACCATTTTACAGTTACTGATGCAGTAATTGATTTAAAAAAGGTCATAAATAGATGTTAACACCTTTGAGAATGATAAAACTCAAATGATTTCAATATATCCCACACATTACTTACCAAAGGGAAGTGGTTCCTTTGTTTCTGCAAAATTTGGCAGACTTCAATTTAACCAAAGAATCAAGTTTTTTTTTCAAATCTTCATATATGTATTTTGTATAATGATAAGAGTCTCCTTTCACCATTCATGCTATTCCCCTTCTCCCTCCCTTTCCCTCCCACCCCTATTCCCTATCTAGAGGTAATCTTCCTCCCTTGCTCTCCCTCCCAACCCCATTTTGAGCCACCCCTATTATATCAGAGAAGACATTCGGCATTTGTTATTTTGGGATTGGCTAACTTCACTTAGAATAATCTGCTCTAATGCCATCCATTTCCCTGCAAATGCCATGATATTTTTTTTTTAAAGGAGAGTGAGAGAGGAGAGGAGAGAAAGAGAGAGAGAAAATTTTTAATATTTATTTTTTAGTTCTCGGTGGACACAACATCTTTTTGGTATGTGGTGCTGAGGATTGAACCCGGGCCGCACGCATGCCAGGCAAGCGCGCTACCGCTTGAGCCACATCCCCAGCCCGGCCATGATATTCTTTTATTGCTGAGTAACATTCCATTGTGTATAAATGCCACATTTTTTWATCCATTCATCCACTGAAGGACATCTAGGTTGGCTCCACAGTTTAGCTATTGTGAATTGTGCTGCTATAAACATTGATGTGGCTGTGTCCCTGTAATATGCTGTTTTTAGGTCCTTTGGGTATAGTCCAAGAAGAGGAATAGCTGGGTCAAATGGTGGTTCCATTCCCAGTTTTCCAAGGAATCTCCATACTGCTTTCCAAATTGGCTGCACCAATTTGCAGTCCCACAAGCAGTGTATGAGTGTACCTTTTTCCCCCACATCCTCTCCAGCACTTGTTGTTGTTTGTCTTCATAATGGCTTCCACTCTTACTGGAGTGAGATGGTATCTTAGAGTAGTTTTAATTTGCATTTCTCTGATTGCTAGAGATGATGAGCATTTTTTTGTATTTTTACAATAAAATATATTTTTAAAAAATTATGATAGCAGGGCTGGAAATTTGGCTCAATTGGTAGAGTGCTTGCCTTGTATGCACAAGGCCCTGGGTTCAATCCCCAGTATCATAAAATATATATATATATAACATCTTTAGGTGTTCCTATCAATGACAGAATGACTTTCCACCACATGATTCTCTCTTTTCTTAAGGAGGTAATAAACCTCCTTGAAACTAGTGAGATACTTTGATTCTGGGGTCTCAGTAGTGTAAACAAGCCCATGCTAGGTCCTGAGGAGCAGTGAGGTGGAAGCAGGTGAATGGTAGACATGGCAGTTGGGAGTAGGTTGGGCCACTCCACAGGACAATCCAAAAGTAAAGGACTGTAGGGTTGGACACTATAGTCATTGGGCATTTGTTTGGCTGACTGCCCAGGGAGCAAGAGGACTGCCTGCCTCCCAGCCACTGTCCCCACCACACCACTGCATTCTGCCCCTGGACTGGCATACCTTCTTTGTGACATAGCCTCCCAGGTAAGCACTTGAGGAGGCGGACACACACCAAGAAAAAGGGCTAGGGCCCCCTTTGCATATTGCCCGGAGTATGAGCAAGCCCAATACTGTTTATTCTTCAGAAGCCTTGCTTGACCCTCAGGTGCATGCTGCTGTCATTACTGACAATCTTGTTACACAGCAGCTGGCCCTTCTTCATTCTCTTCCCATAGCAGTTACTCTTCCTTTCTTCTGTTACCCCTTCCAGCCTCCTATTCTAAATCCCATAAGAAAGAAATGGGCCCATCAGCTTGTGGAGCATACTTGGCCATGTTCTAGAGAAAACATAACCAATGGTATATCTTTTTTTAATTATTATTAGTTGTTCAAAACATTACAAAGCTCTTGACATATTTCATACATTTGATTCAAGCAGATTATGAACTCCCATTTTTACCCCGTATACATATTGCAGATTCACATTGCTTCCACATCCACTTTTTTACATACTGCCATACTAGTGTCTGTTGTAGTCTGCTGCCCTTCCTATCCTCTACTATCCCCTCTCCCCTCCCCTCCCCTCCCAATGGTATATCTTAAGAAGGGCTAAGAAAAGATGCTTGCTTCTTGCGTTTCCTCAGATATACCCTGCCTCAGCATCACTTGCCATAGACCCAAGTTAAAGAAAATATTTCCCAGAATGGGAAACYTACATCCAAGTACCAAATGGGTATGAATAGCAAAGGATGAAGAGCAAAGGAAAGGCATTGAATTACTCCAGCTTTGGGATCATTTACTGAAAGAGCTGGTAATATCTGCGTCCTATGATTACCATGATATCCTTTGGGGCTAATTTATGCAAAGCATGTGTCAGAGCACTCAGACATCATGGATGACCCAACACAGGCCATTGATTATTAGCTTCCTGATGCAAGTAGAGAAAGAAAAACAGATGCTGTGTGTCTTTGCTCATTCTTACTGTTATAATGAAATGCTGAAGACTGGGCCATTTATAAACAATGGAAATTTATTTCTCAAAATTTTGAAGGCTGAGAAGTCTAAGATCAAGGCATTGGTAGATTTGGTGTCTTGTAAGGGCATTCTCTCTGCTTCAAAGACAGTATCTTGTTGCTGCATCTTCTGGAGAAGATAAACACTGTCCTCATAGTGGAAGAGCAGAAGGGGTGGAAGGGCCTAGGGTGCTTCCCTCAATTTCTTTTATAAAAAGCACTAATCCCATTCATAAGAGCAGCATACTTATGACTTAGTCACTTCTCCTCAGATCCAACTCATTGTATTCAGATAACTCATTGTATTAGCCAGGCAGGGTGGTGCACACCTGTAATACCAGCAACTTGCAAGACCCTGTATCAAAATAAAAAGTGCTGGGGATGTAGCACTTCACTACTGAGCTACATCCCCAGTCCTAGTGAGATAGCCCAGATTCTTTTTCTGACGTGAAGTTGTTAGAGGCAAATTTTCATCATCTGTCCAATTTTATATCTAATTGACAATCTTGTATCTTGAACCCTGAAACTTAAAAAGATAAATTGGATGAGCAAAGAGAGGCTTAACAGAATTAGCTGAATTTTGATTCAGATATATCCATTATATCAGAGAGAACATAAGTTTGAGGAATCAACCCAGGAGTCCTCACAAGAGATTGCTGATTCAGGCAACTAAGTGAGCTTTATTATCCCTAAAATAATTTCACCTCTTATTTATCCGTTTTTTCCTTTAGATCTCCTCAAAATAACTTGACCATTTATATATTGAACAGTGCTTCATAGCTGGATTACATTCAGGAAGAAGAGGAAAAGTTTACCTTATATTTAGATAAGTAAAATTTAATGTAAGAGTCAGAACCTTAGCAGGTCAGAGAAAAAATGATTGCTCACAGAACTTTTGTTGGAAATTTTCTTCAGTGAATTTCTCCTAATCCCAAGAAATTTGAAACTGAAACCTGGTTCCTTGAAAGTGTATTAAAGGAAAATCAAGACTCTGGGAATATTGTATATTATGGTTTGGATATGAGGTGTTCCCCAAAAGCTCACGAGTCAGACAAAGCAAGAAGGTTCAGAGGAGAAATGATTGTGTTGCGAGAGTCTTAACTTTCTCAGTGGATTGATCCCTGATGGGATTAACTGGTAACTGAAGACAGTGGGGTATGGCTGGAGGAAGTGGCTAATTGGGGATGTAGCTATGTGGTATACATTTTGTATCTCGAGAGAGGAGTCACCCTCTCTCTCTGCTTTCAGATCACCATGTGAGCTGTTTCCCTCTGCCACACCCTTCCATCCTAATGCCCTGCCTCACCTGGAGCCCTGAGGAATGGAGCCAGCCTTCTGTGGAC